GGGCCCCCCCCCGCCTGTGTCTGTACAGGAAATATCACCGCTGAGGAACAGAGCGACCCGGAGGGCTGCTTTCACACGCTCCTTTCCGCTCTTTTTTTTTTTTCCCCCCTTTCTTCTTTTTTCTTTAGATTTTGTTTTTTAATAGGAAACCGGTTCGGCCTGAACATCAGAGCTGACCGCAGGTTCTAATTTCACCGGCATATTATTCCAGATTACAGCTGAAGGCTGCTCTGCGTGTGACCGAGCAGTCTCCCTCGCTCATTTATCACTGAGAAACGCGGCTCGCGGAGCTAGGTGAAGGCTTCCCCTGCCTATGCAGGGGATTGTCCAGGAGATGGCGGAATTGCCTCAGACATGGCCTGGAAATCGCGCTGCCTAACAGGAGCCAAGCTCCATGGCAGGTGCAGAGCAGGCGAGCCGGCAGGCCTGCAGTGGATCTTTGTGCCACTGAGCATCTGCAATGCACTTTAGCGAGGTACATATTAGTTATCTGCAATAATGCACCCTGTATTTCAGGCGAATAATGATGCCTTTTTCCCTAAGCACAGACGGCCTTGCCGGGCTCCAGCAGGGACTCTGTGGTGGCTGCAGCGCGGGTTTGCGCCCGAGGGCCGGAGCGCCGAGTTCCGGGATCCCGTCGGGTCCGTGAGTCCTGGGAAGATCCCAAGCTGTAGGCAAGGGAATTTGAATAACGCCCGTCATTGCCGCAGTTCCAGGCTCAGGAAACCGTTTTAAACTGCACTGGTAGGTGGATGGGCTGATGTGACCCGGCCCTCAGCCCTGGCCTCGCCTTCCTCCTGGCTGTAGCTGTTCGCTTCTTAATGTTTCTGCACGTTGTTACGAAATTAAAAGGCGACTTTTCTCCATCTGGTACCGATTTACCAGCCGATTCGTCTTTCTTCCTCCTGCCCTGGGAATGGATCTTTGGCTGTGGCAAACCTGCGTCTTCTGAGAGCCCGGAGCCCGACAAAGCCAAAGGTTAAGCCTGGAAGGAGGAAGGGAACAGCCTGCGACGGCTCCGCAGCCGGGAAACACGACAGCTCTGGCAGTGCCCGGCCTTTGGTCTGCGGGGGGCTTCGTTGTGGGGAAAAAATTCTCCAGAATTAACAGGACCGAAGTATGTGTGGTTGGGGGGGGTTTTTTGCCTTCATCAGCAGAGAGGGCTGTTCCAGGAGCTTAAAAGCTGTGTCTCACAAGTCTCCTCTTTTCCCAGCATCCTACAAAAACGCACTTTGCCACAAAATCTGAAATGCTCCAAAATGTATTTTTTTCGTCCGTGCGGGGAGAACAAAACCAAACCAAACCACCTAAAAAGCCACGAACGTGCAAGCGGAAGAGAAAGGGAGATGAAGAAGGCGGACAAGGCGTTAGATACTTCCTCGCTGGAGCCAGGCGGCTGCGGAGCCAACGGAGGGGCCGCCGCACCGGAGCGGTCACCCCTACCTCCGCGGAGCCCCGTCAGAACACAGCAAGGGCCGGGGACGGCTTAGAGGGGAACACAAAGGGGGTCTGGGCCGGATGCCACCGCCGGGCAACGGACAGGCACACCCGGGCTCCTGGGGGAGAGGAGAAAGGCAGATTCTCCCCTGCCTCACAGCCCGGGTATTTCTCGCCGGCACCATTTCGTTCTCAACAAAAAAAAAACAAAACCAACAAAAACAAACCCACAACAACCCCCCTCTCCTCCCAAAATACAACACTTCCCCAGCGCAAGGCCCTCTCGGATACCCCTTTCATTCCTTCAAGGTGCCTCGCATTGTATCTAACTCTCCTTCCCCAAGAACCGAGTCCCTAAAACCCGCTCTTGGAAAATACAAGGCAAGACCGGAGCCCGCTAAGGGCCCTGATAATAAGAGAAAAGAAGAAAGGCGATTTCCCCCCTCTGTTTATATATATATATATCGAAAAGAAATAGTTTTATTAAAGACGTTTCAGGAACAGTTTGCAACACTCTTAACAGCTTGGAAGTTCAGCTCATATTTCCAACGCAAAGTAAAAGCAGACTTTAAGACAAGAAAGGGAAAAAAATTTTTTATGGAGCAATAGTCTTACGGTATGTCTTACCCACATACACTGGTAATTAAAGTGTTTAGAGCAATAGTATATTATAATAAATAATACTAGTTCAGAACACACACGTTTTAATAATTAGACGAGGCACATTACCAGAGAGGATATCGCCTCTCTCCTAGCAGTTGACTAGCGTGTCTGATCACCCTGTGTATATCATAACATGCACAATAGGCTTAAAATAATAAAAATTCGACAAAACCTTAGCCTTTCGGCCTATATAAATTATGGCATCTTTTGAAATTCCTTATTTATTGCTTCTGTCATTAACACCCGTTTATTTTTGGAAATTAAAAGTTAGCGGTGAACTTCACTTCTCCGACCAGGAGAATTTTTTTAAGCGCCGTGGCGGGAGGAAGGAGAAGAATCCTGTGCTTGTCCGGACACACAGGCTAGAGTGGGCCTTTTACACGAGGTCTGCGCAGGTTTATACACACCTTTGTAGCGGCAGACTCTTCCCCGGCTGCAGGAGGAGCCGGCCCATCAGTCCCTCCGAAAGGGCGTCCCCGAGGGGCCCCGACCTGCGCGGCCCCGCAGACCCGCGG